CCATTTCCCCTCCTACCTCTCCAGCCCAAAGGAAGGGGAAGGGCAGATGAATGGAAGAGAGCAGAGAGAGTGAAAAGGCCCGGTTGAGAAGACAGGATGCTCGCACTATGTACAATGACTGTGTAGACACTTGAGCTTTGGGTCTGGAGACAAGGGCACATCTTGAAGTCTGGGGTGCTGGGGTGCAAGGACACACATACCTGGAAATTGGAGGTACACTACAGAGAAGCAGCCAATAACACGGCCCACCAGAAAGTCAGCCGATGTGGTGGGAGACCCATCATGAGCAGAAGAAAAGGCTTAGTTCTACATTCCAGTAAGCCTTTCAGATCAGAGGGTCCCTGGTGGCGCCGTGGCTGTGCATTGGGCCACTAAACTCAAGGTTAGCAGTTTAAAAACCACCAACAGCTCTAGCAGAGAAAGAGAAGGCTTTCCACTCCCTTAAATTAAAGAGTCACAGTCGTGGAACCCACAGGGGCAGTTCTGCCCTGTCTTACAGGGGCCATGAATCAGAATCGACTCAATGACAGGGAGTTTGGTTTGGGATACAGATACTTTGGATTTCTTTTCCAAAGTGTCCCCTTCACTGAACTCACTCACCCTGTTCACCCCCTTTCTCTGACTCTGGTCAAAATTTGGTCCCTCGTCTGAAGTCTTCCTTGTGAGTGAGATAAGAACCAAGGAGTGGGAGAGGCTCTCAACATTACCTGGTAACTTCTCTACCCATGAGAGATTGGTGGATTAAGGGAGAAGGTGAGGAGCCTATTTAAACTTTTTCAGGTGTTCTAGACAAACCAGTGTGGTAGTTGTATTTCTTCCCAATGTGGAGAAATTCTTGTAATCCATAGCTCTCCAATCAGAAAGTTACTCGCTCCACGAGAGACCAGGAAGAAAAAGAGTAGACAGCCATTTGGCCATCATCCTTATGCCCCATCTCACTGGGTGGCATGGTGTGTCAGTTCAAGCTCCTCAGTCACCCTGGAAGCTGTCTGCTCCTCCTAATGTCTGTCATGGCCACAATTCAAGATCTCATTGCTCTTGCTCTGTTGACTACGAACATAGCCTGCTTGGTTTCTCTCCCCCAGGAATCTCTTTCTAAAATGCCAATTTCACCTTCTTCAAATTGACTATATTCATGGTCAAAGTCAAACTCTTCAACTAAACCCTGAAAGGCTCCAGTTTTCTTCTGTAGCCCTCTATCCTATCTCTCTCTACTTCTTATTCCACCTTCTGCTCACGCTGTAGATACATAACTCCCAGCAGTCTATCTATACTTACTAGCCTGGTCCCCATCTCCCTCCTCTTACACACCCTGGTCCCTTCATCTGAAATGTGCATCTCCAACGCAGTCCTACATGGCCTCCAAGATACAGACAAACGATCTCCTCCATGAAGCTTCTTCCCTCCACCCCCATCCTTGCCATCTGTCAGCTACTCCACCTCTGAAAGAAAAATCTTGTCCCTCCACATCTGACATTTATTTCACAATATTATAACTGATAATCTGCTTTTCCATCTCCTCCACTGGATTGATTATAAGCGCTTTGGATTTAGCACAGATGATGGATGGGATGAATGAATGAGTGAGTTTGATAGGGACGCAGATGACAAAGTCACTAGCTGGACTGGGAAACAGGAAGAGAAAGGATAACATAAAATTACAGAAGGAATGCCATTTAAACTTGCCCTTGAAGAATGAGTAGAAGTTTTCCAGACGAAGGCAACACTCCCTTCTCATTTGCACGAACAAATTAAGGTAGTGCTAAATTAAGTACATTTGGAGTTTTGATTCATGTCGAAGAAGAAGGCTAACATGTAGGTTCTCTGACGAGCATATTTATTTGTAATCCACGTGGACATAATGTGCTGCATGCCTGCTTAATTATACCATATTGAATATACAGCAAGTCGTCCTGCTTGCCCTGAATAAACCAGTTCTAATTTTACTTTGTCTCTGGCTACATAAATCCAATTAAATCGCTGTTCTTACCAGGAAAGCTGCTTTCAAAATTTAATAGGGTTATTTAAAAGATAAAGTGAATTTCAGGATAACCTGTCTACTATATGCATGAGCTAAAACAGGAAAAATAGATAAATAAACATGAACTTCAAGTTTGAAATTGTCTTAGGGCGCTGTTGTGGATTGTATTATGTTCCCCCCAAATATATGGTGAACCCTAAACTCTAAGTCTTTGGTTATAAACCCATTTGAACAATTGTTGTCTTTTTCGTGTTAATGAGCCAGGATTCGTGTAGGGTGTGTTTTGGGTCAATCTCAGGAGACGTTCAAAGAGAAGAGAGTGGAGATCTCTAGGCAGCTCACCTAAGTAGAGTCTGAAGAGACAAAGACCTTCTTCCAGAGCCACCAAAGAGAAAGGCTTCCCCTTACAGCTGACACCCTGAGTTCAGCCTTGTAGCCTCCTAAACTGTGAGAAAATACACTTCTGTTTGCTAACCCCACCCCCTTGTGGCCTTTCTGTTCTAAGAGCAGTAGATCACCAAGACAGCGGCTCCCACTCCCCTTTCTTCAGCATCACGGCTTTCTAAGATGACAGAGCAGCCTCTGCTTCTGCGGCCCAATAGTCACACACAGAGAGGATGGACTTCTGGGATTGGGGGACTTTGTGCAGTCAAAAAAATTAGCTTTCAAAAATCACTTTTAGAGATGGAAAAGTCCAGAGCTCTCAAATTGGAAGTCATATTCTGAATATTCTTTCAAATGATCAAGCTTGGTGAGATAACTAGATTACTGGTCGCTTCCATATGTGCTTGCATAAATATTATAATTTGGCCCTTATAAGACATATATGAGGAGATGGTCACAATATGAACAGAATACTATTACACAGCCCCAGCACACTTTCTTCACCCACTGCCCAGGATGAATCCAGGGACAACTAGCATCAGTATTTACAACGCATCTGATTTTAAAATTGCGGCAAAGAATACATTCTGCCAGCGCTTGAGGATGCACTTCACTGTTTTCCTTCTGTGGCTTACTTTTGATTTCATGACTTCAGGAACTGAAGGGAGATAATCATCATAGGAGCCATTCTGAAGAAAAGATTCTTTAAGTCGAATTGTGGACTGCAGAAGCCTTAGATTTTCTGTAACGGAGAGAGAAACAGTTACCTAATATGAGGACCGCAAGGTCATTTAGGAAGCCCGTTTGAAAGTTACCTTAACCTTGACTTATTACTGAGTGTTTACTGAGAGAAAAGCCTCACTCAATCTAAACCTAAGATGAATAAAAATTTAAACCTTGGAGTTCATTATTTTTAAAATATTCATCGATGTTTTGCTTAGAGATAAAATATTGCTAGCAAAGGTGCTACACAGTTCTTAGCTCTTTATGAACAAAATATGCTTTTATTTTGGATTTTTAGATCCATCATTAGGTCAAAGCTTTCTGAGGCAAATAGGTTGTATAATAATCATATTCACAAAAATATGGCCTTTCAACCTTGATTAACTCGTGCTTGGTAAACAGAAAGCAGGCTGAAATATGTGTTAGGCTATTTGTTGACAGTAACTCACAGAAAAACTATTTTGGTGTAAAAAAACAAAACAGAGCAAAAAGCTAAGGGAGAAAATGTTCTTTCTGAGAAAAAGAAAATTAAGTAAAAGTAAAAAAAATGAACAAAGACTAGGAGGACCCATTTGAGTAAATTCAATCTTTGTGGCTGCCCATGTAGGCAGAATGTTGAAAATAGAGTGTGAGGACAGGTAAAATAGAAGTAAAAATAGTTTGCCCCCCAAATTCCTTTGTTATGCAATTTACATCTATTTCTGGAACTGTGTAGTATCATCCTTCACTTTTTTTGACAATCAAAGGCTTAGAAAGTGTCCCCAAAGGTTATATGAATACCTGAAGATACTGCACACTTGGAAAGTTTCTTCAGGTAGTAGCTATTATTTCAGCAGGAGCAACAAAGGTAATAGAATAATCACATGATTAAATATTCCCTCCATCCATCAAATCATAAATAGGAAATTTACAGAGAGAAATGAGGACATTTCTATTCTCTATGGTTTTTAAACAATCATTTTAAAAAAATGATTACTGCAAAACAGAACAAGGAACCAGGAGCAATGGTTGATTGTTAAAAGGAATGTTACCTTGGGGTCCCCAGGCCAAATTGTCAGTGATATTCCTCACACATGCCAGGTAAGGACTGTAAGGACTATCTGCTGAGACATTTAAGAGAGCATCTTCAAAGCTCTCCAATATGAGGAGTCTATAATGAAAAAGAAAACACAAAGATGAACAGTAAGAAGTCTCCAACTGCACAGAGCACAGGTAATTGGTTAGATGACAGATGGTCATTTAAATACACAGTCTCTATAGTCTCAGAGAAAGGATAGCACCCATTCCCAAGGCCTCCTACTGCTATTTAGATATGGCTTTGGTCAGAGACTCTTGATTATTTTACATGTAGTTGTCTTGGACTGTGGGACCTTTAGACAGTAAGTGGTCTTGTTATTTATCAAAGCCTCCTTGCGAGTAATCAATACTGATATCAATTCGCAAATGAAAGTCAGGAGATTATATTCTTGGAATAAATTTACTGGCTTACATAAAAGAAATATTTTTCAGGCAAAACCAGAAAGGGCCTGATCGAAGACAAAACTAACTGTGTTGTACAGGCTAACTATCACTGTATAATATCCAATCATACCTACATTGAGTTACGTTTCACGGACTGAGGCACCGCCCATGCATCAAATCAAATCTGTGTCCTACTAATGATCGTCTGTAGTTTCAATGTGCCCCAGGCATTGTCCTTACATTAGCAGCAACAACAAAATAAACAAAAAAGAACAGAGCCTAAGCAAATATTTTTGGAACACAAAATAGCTATCAGAATGCAGAGGGGAATGGGTCCCCATATTCGGAAGAAGGATCTAAGGATAAATTGGAAGGGGATATTTGGAGGGCAACTGGAGCTATGGTAACAACTATAGACCTACTAGCTCCTTTTTCAATTTTTGTGGAGAGTGTTCCATTTATTTTATTGACTATCATGGTAAGCATAGATTTTGAGATAGACTTATGTTTGTACAACTTGAAGCAATGATGCTTTTTTAAAAAAAAGTTCTGTTGTCCATCCCCTCCCTCTTCCCGTTACAAAATATCTAGCACTTGGATTGTGTATGTGTGTGCTACACTGTAGTTAAGAGCTGCTGAAAGGAGAAGTACCTAAGTAGAAGAGATAGAGGAAGCTCCCTAGAAGTTGACAGCCAACCAAGCCTCTACGAAGCATCTCCGGACAGGTACAGGTGGGGTGGTTCTCTCCTCATCTGTCCTTTACCTCTCGCTCACCTGGCCCTACTCTTTCCGATCCTGCCCTGGCTTTTTGGTGTACAGTTTCCTCTGTTGCTGCTACTACTGCCCAGAGGCCTTTCCATCCTGGCCCAGAACTCAACAGCAGCCTACTGGCTGAGCCTATGGGATGGGATGGCACAAGAGAGTTCCCCTGGTGAACTGTCCAACTTAAAATAGAGACCTGCTGGCCTAGGCATGACCTTGAGGTATCACCTAGGTCAGCCTTTTATTTTCATAAGGAGTATCTGATTGCCAGGGTTTTTGAGAATGGATTAAATAGACTTCAAAAATTAAGATTCCTCACCTGTACGCCATGGGGTAGGCATGAACACCCAATCATTCCTTTAAACCGCTTAGTCTAGGTCTCCGTTATACATAATCCTGCCTACTTCCCAAGAGTGTATAGAATAAAGGGACTGGGTGTGAATATTCAATAAAAATGATGATGTTGGAATAATAATAATGAGGAAGGCAATGAGGAAAAGGTATTTTTGAGAAACTTACTTTAGAAAATTCCAGACTCCCCCACTAAAAACAAAAACACACAAACACAAACCTGTGTCTCATGCTAGTATTGCAACTCTGTGATTATTTTCAGAGCCCTGGCAAGGAAGTCCAAAGGTAAGAAATCCCTTAATTTCATCAATCTCAACAAGAGCTGCCTTAGACGTATTGAATTCTCTCTAATAAACTGTCAGCTAGCTGTCAGCAACTAACTACACTTGCTGTGGAATGTGTAGTCTGAAGTGTTGGCATCATCAGTGCTGTGGGTGTTCCCAAGTGCTGAGGAAGATAGCTGGCGTCACCAGTAAGCGTTCAGTTGCCTCAATTCAAAAAGGTTTGTTTTGTGTGGGCGATATAAAGGGGATATGTTTTAAAGGCCAGGTATTTGGAACACGACAACTGGCTAAAGAAAAATCCCCGAGGGTTCTCAGTTGCTCCAGGATAGCAGGTGTTCCGCAGTAGCTGGTTGTCCCAGGAAAGGAGAACTCTCAAGTGCAAAAGAGGCGCACCTGCATCAGCCACCTGAAGCAAGGTGGGAGCTGAAACAGGAAGTGGCATTTATTTAAGGATTTTGCCTGGGACTTACCCAGATTAGGAGAATGGCTCATTAAATAATAACAAGTAGGGAAACAACTATGTCATTACATTTCAGAAAAAGAAAGGAGTGGTTTAAAAATGGGCCCTTCTGTCTGTTCTGATCTGTACAAATTCTCATTAACACAAAAACATGTCCTCTGGGACTGAAGTCAAAGAATTTCAATATGCAACTTATCAGGCAACCTTTACATAAGCATCTAGTCTCCAAATTTGCCTTGAACTGCAAGAATTCACCACTATCAGTTATTGCAGACAACTGTTTGCATTTCCTCCCATGACTGTGCAGCTAATTTAGGAATTAAAATGATGAACTAATAGAAAGTAACTTCAGATAATCAGCGATAGACTTGACTTTCTATTAGTGGTCGGTAGAAGCCATGATTGGCTTCTAACTATTCATTGGATGTCCAAATGACCCACGAGGTCCAGGATGAAATTGCTTGCAATTTGTCCCACCTGCACACGACTGGATGCAAACCAAGTTTTGCATGTCACTGGGTATAAAAAAAAATCAGATTTTTAAAAACAAACAAATAATAACAGTGTGAGAAAATGGGCATGTAAACTTCTTTCATGGAGAAAGATTTTATGAAAGGGTTTGAAACTGGATCCCTGACCAGATTTTCCTTCTAGAAACTGAGTGACCAGTCCAGGTCTTAGATAAAGTTCTGAGATCTTAGAATGAAAGAAGCGACCCTCCTGCTGCAGTACCAACAGAATAACCACCCCCCTCAAGTTTTCAACTTTACTGCGCTTGAACAATATCCTCTTCTGTAGTCAATAGAAGGGCAGTAGTTAAATCCCATTATCCCCATGGTCATCTGCATGGATAAGACATTGTATCTATGGATTGTTTTAACTGTTTCTTGAACCGAGTTGCCTACCACTTTAGAAACATCTACAAACCCATAAGGAGACTTACTGTGCAGCCAGGCTGGTTGGGGATAGCGTCTGTCTCTCATCCTCATTCCACAGATGGGTTGTATTGTGAGAGCCACCTAGATTAGCAACAATGACAGGGATGCAAAGTTATCATAGTTACTGAAATAATTTGTTTTGGTTTCTGATTTTGCTTAACAAAAATGACTGTGAGTTAAATGGATGCGCTGGAAGGGGCAGGAGCGCAGAAAATATTCAGACTTTTCCCCCCCAAAGGGTTTGACAAAAGATGGTTAAGCACTGTTTGTTGGAAACATCTAAGATATTTTTAGGAAATAGATACCCACTAATAAAGTAATCTCCATGGCCAAACTCCTGAATTTCTAAGAAATTCTTTTTCTGTGCATAAAAGCGTCACAGTATTTTATCCCAAGACCTGTAGCCATAGATGGCTCTTCAATACTATAATGAAGATTGACTAGCACGTGATGTGTTACTCAAACAAAGCCCATTTCAGTCTTATGGGTCATTGACTTCCCTGTTCTTTTATCTCTTGCCTTCAGTTGTCTAGGATGGAGCCTTAAGAGACAACTGCCATCACTAATCTATATTTTCCACCTTTCAAAGCAGCCCCTGAACTCAATTGAATGCAGCTGCGAATGAAAATTAGCTAATGTTAACAGAACCCTTCTGAGTGGTCTCACATAATGTGAAGGTATACAGTGCCAGAGGCAATCGCTCACTTGGGTCTAATGGAAGCCACCTGTGAAGATCTAATGCCACACCTTGAATTGGCCCAAGAAATCTAGCTGGCTGATTCAGCTTGCCGCACAAGGTTGCATCATAAAGAGTAAGTATGCAATGGCATTCATATTAAAATTGAGATGAAAATGATTTAAGTACCCAGTGCATAAATAAAACCACCATAAATCCATGCCTTTCTTCAACCCCGTTAGAAGAAATGTCATTGCCTATTTCCATCATCTCTTCAGCCACCACTCACTCCTTATAAATAAACCATTCCGTTTCAACGCTGTCAGATTTAATGTGGGCCTAATCAGTTTCAACAGAATGCTTTATTACCAATTTTCATAGCTCTTCCACTGTTTCTAGTTGGTACTTTCTAAAACCTTCTAGAAGATGCTAGTGTTAAGCTATTTGAACATGTCACACTTTCTGGTGCTGAGTGTTTAGTTTACTTAAGTAGTATGTGTTAAAAGGACTATCATAAAATTCAGAGCCTTCTTGCCAGGCATATCACTCATGTTTAAGTGCTGTTTGCACCATCCCAGTAAATGGCTGAGAAGCTGTTTAAATTTTTTTTGTTTTTGTTTTTACTCAGTCAAGTAGTTTTCAAGTTGCAGCTGAATATAGCACTGTATCTGTAAGTTAGAGAACAGGAATGCAAGTACCCTGAAGTACAAAGACATGATTAATGATGCTGATATCAGTTCTCTATTGGCATCCATATGCAGAGTAGCAGCCCTAGTGGCACTGGGTTGCTAACAGCACGGTTGGTGGTTCAAACCCACCAGCCAATTCACAGGGAGAAAAATGAGGCTGTTCGCCTCTGAAAATAATTTATGGTCTCAGGAGCATCCACTTGATGACAGTGTATAGTGAGTGTATTGAATATCGAATATCAAAGATAAATCTATACTAATGCTTAAGCTTTTGTCACATAGAATGCATAACATTGACTTTCAAGGATTTGTTTTGAAAACCTATGTGATGCTGAGCAAGTTAATTGGCATTTGCATACTGTGTGACTTTCTTTGTAGTTTGCTTCCTCATCAAGTTATCAAAATGAGTAATTAATGGAAACGAACTTCAGTGATAGATTTGCCCCTGAAGTTAAGTAGAGACTTTCCCCTCTGGCCACTACAAAGAATAAAGTTTGTTGGAAGAAAGAATGCTCTAAATAGGCTTTAACGAAGTGGAAAATGTTACAGACCTTTTGAAAGTGAAAGTCAACTCCCGTCCTAATTGGGGGGTAAGCAAAATTGAAAACCGCGGGGAAGCAAAATTTAAAAAGGCCCAAAAAAAAAAAAAAAAAAAACCAAGGGAAAAAAGAACCCCTTTCAACAACAAGGAAGGATTTCCCATCTAAAAACATCATTTCGTATAATTCAGTATTTTGAGAAAGCAAATTTCACTGAGTCAGAAAGGTAATCATTGATCTCAAAACTCTGGTGTTTATAAAAGGAAACATCAATGCACGTCAACTGTGTAACAGTGACCCCAGCTGGGGCAAAGCTGTGAACCAGACCCTGTCAGCCAGGAAGTTAGAGGATTATTTTCTTCCCAAGAATCTGTTAGCATCACCACCCTCAGCGTTGCCAAGGAAGCCACATTCCAAGCCTGAGGTGGGTTCACAATCGAGGTTGGATGGGAGATGGACACGGGGAAGGGGAGATAGGCAGAACACAGTGCAGGGAGGAAAGGGGTGGGTGCGTGACTGTAATCATGTTTGTCATGTGTGGTCTGGTGAGTCAAGTTTCATCGGGGCCTGAGTGGGCGGAGTTCTGAAGCTCAGGGGTGGCAGGTACTTGTATGTCCCAGTTAGACAGCCTATAAGCAAGGATGTATCCGTCACAGTAAATGTAAGTGAGGTAGCATCGAAACTCTGCTATGAGATCCTCCACCCTTCACTTCTAAGTATAAAATCAAGGGGGTGGGGGCTGCATTCACTTCATAAGTACAAAAATGAGACATAGGACCGCAGGTATACAGTGCCAGAGACCCCTGCCCTATTGAACTAGGGTTACCTGTTACCCTTCAATGACCGGTATGAGTTCTCGGAGAATTTTTCAAAGTTCTAGAAATTCTCTGGAAATTGACATATTATCACATTACACTCAGACTGAGGAACTCACAATGTGTGGAATTAGCAAACAAGCAAACGTTGGGCACATCAAAATTGATAAATGAAAACGCATCTCTTCAAGGTGTCTCATTTGCCAGAGTGATTAGCATATTCATGGATGTGAGACTGGTGATTACTGAATATTGAAAACTACGCTGCATGGTCCACCAAGAAAAGTGTTTTGTTGTCTCAGTTGACAAGAAACATCTGTGAAGTGCTGTTGCGCTTCTGAGGGTCTGTCGTTATATGTAAAAAACTGTAACTTTATCACTTTATATTAATTATAAGGTGTGAGTCTGAAGCTGAAAAGGAAGAGAATGTTAAGGGGACACTTGAAATCCTCACGTCTTTAAAAGACAGATGGAATTTTTAACAACACAGGGGAACTAATGAGTGTTTGTTGTGCACGGTTTGGTTCTCTGGCCTGAACTTTTTCTAAAGAGTAAGCCTTTTCCACCAAATGTTTATCAAGACCATTAAATTGAACAGCAATCAATCTTGTAAGCTAGCCATTGACTCTGTAATTGAAGATATAAAAACATGCTTAGAGTAACCGAGACTTGTATGCAGCAGTATGCTGGCTCCTCCACTGAGAATTCGTGAAAGCCTTTCCAAGCCTGGTTTTCATATGGAAGCCATAGTTTACGAGTCAGCAGGAACAATCAACGTGTGAAGTTCGCTACCCAGGAGCCCCCGTGGTAATCCACAGGAGAAGTCCACATCTTCAAAAATTGATAAACTCAAGAGATAGAGGGCGCAAGTCTAAAACCATTCAGAAACGATAAATGCTATGCATGCATATTACTTGGGAGGTAAAGATGTGTTCTTGAAGCCCTAAACCTCATGTATGCTTTGTATAAATAGTGTGCATGTGGTATATAAGGTCATGCAATAGGTCAGGTGATGACCATAAATGGTGTAAGTATAATAATAAAACCAAGAGACCTGTTTTTGATTACTTCCAAGTTGTTATAATTAGAAACCAGAAAGCAATTTTTGAAGAAAAAGAAATAGATTTTGGTAGATGTTCAAAAGATTTTCAGAGAGGGTGAAAACCCCAAAAGCCAACCTCACTGCCATCGAGTCAATGCTGACTCAGAGTGACCCCATGTGAGTTTCTGAGACTATAACTGTTTATGGGACTAGCAAGCCCAGTCTTTCTCCCACAGAGCTGCCGGGGGGTTTGAACTGTCGACCATGCAAATTGCCAAACAAATAACTGCTACACCCCCCAGGGCCCCTTTCAGAGAGGGTAAGGGTCGTGTTATTGTTTTGGAAGCCCTGCTCCATTTGAAAAAGACACACAGAGTCTCTTGCCAGGGGAGTAATGCTACACTGCACAGGTGACGCTTTCTGACCCACTGCAACGTGGCACTCCGTATTTTCCTGGAGACAGTCGACTTACCCGGGTTTTGTCCCAGTCTGATCACCACGATGCCTTTCCAGGATGGGTGTAACGTAAGGGCCTCTGCTTTTACCAATGAAGGATTCAGGCTGATTAAATAGTCATAAAGTTTGGAAATGAGGACAAGCAAGCAATCCCATTTAAGCGATTGCTCCGGAAACTAGACGTAGAACTCTATTTGCTGTGGCTTACTCCATGTTGTTTAGAGTTCACAATAAGGTAGAAGTTTAGTTTTATAAGGTAAGGGAAATAATTTGAACCTAAATGAAAAATTCTACAAAGCCACGCTCCCCCCACCCCCAGGGTTTTCTCCCTTACCCTGACTTTGGGAGAGCTGGAGAGCATGATTTTTGTCATAGCATATGGCCACCGAAGAGTCATCTCTTTGGGGACTGTGGGGGTGGGGTGGGCAGGAGTGGGAGGATTGGGAGCTGATAGCATTGATGATTGTATAACTCCACTCAATGGGATTAAACAAAAGAATTGTATGTGAATGGATATACTGGATTGTGTAAAATACGCCAATCAAAGTGGGTTTTTTTCTCTTTTTAAAAAGAGTAATCTCTAAGGAGCCCCGTGAAGCTAAGTGTTTGACTCTAAATCTACCACTGTTCTGTGGGAGAAAGACATGACTGTCTTGTCCTCTAAAGATTGCAACCTTCCACAATGCCCTAGGTGGGAATTATGAGTTGGAATTGACCTTATAGCAAATGACCCGGGTTTTGGTTTGAGAAAAACATCACCTGAAAACTGAAGACATGGAAATAATTTGTCCAGTGGCCTAACAGACCACGAGGACCCTAGAGAACGGAGGTGCCCCGCTGCCACTACCAAGGGCTTAGAAAGAGATCACATCAGACGGCCCTGGATAGCACGGGAGAAACTCATTCAGAAGCCCAGGCTGAGTGACTGCCTAGAGGCTGATAGAGCCCCAAGGCGATGACCCTGCAGCACCCTACAGGTCTAGGAGAGCACTAACCTACAGGAACTCCGTTTGTAATCAGATAACAGACAGGTCTATAGGGGAACAGCAACACTAGTGACATACATGCTCCTTGGAACAGTGTTTCCCAAAGTGGGTGGTCTCAGCCGCTGGGAAGTGCTGGGTGATCCAGAGGACTAGGAAAGCAGATGCCTACACTTTATCCTGCATACTCTGGTTCCTTTCCAGATAGTACCAGTCTTTGTTCTTTTACCAGAGGCGTACTGGACATGGAGCTATTTTGAGTTATAAATAGTCTACACTTTATCCTGGACCATGGGCTAGTACAATAGCTTTTCATTGTTAGGGGCTCTGAGTAACAGTTTTTTCTGTAAAGGTGGTGGGGGTGGGGGGTTGGCCAAACATGTGTGTGACCCTATGCCTTAGAATGATCAGCTGTGGAAAGTCCAGGGGTAGCATTTACCCACTGGAGGAGCCCTGGTGGTGTAGTGGTTACACGTTGGGCTGTTATCCGAAAGGTCAGCAGTACGAAACCACCAATCATTTCTAGAGAGAAAGATGAGGCTTTCTACTCCCTTCAAGAGTTATCATCCCAGAAGTCCACAGGGCAGTTCTACCCTACCCTTGTAGGCTCACTAGGAGTTGGAATGGACTGGATGGCGTGAGGGAGCACGGATGAGAGCAATAAAACTACCTGAAAGACGCGGAAGTGCCTGGCAAGACCATGAACAATGAACACCAACAACTCCGTCTTGAAAGAAAATGAAAGTCCTGCACGGCCCAGCAGAAATGCTGAGTCTCAACAAAGAAGTCAACAAATGGCCTAGGAGCCACCCCAGAGAGCCTGGGGGACCCTGATAAGACCCAGAATGACATCAAACGGTCAGCTGAACTGCCTATATAAGCCGGGAAGAAAGGCTGAGAACTCAGAGAGCTAGGAACCAAGGAGACATCAACTCCTGCTCTCTCCAACTCTACCCAGATAAGTACACAGATGAAGGCAAGGCTTAACGGGACTATCATGCTGAATGAATTGTGTGTTACCCTCACAGTAATCATTTAGGTTAGTTTTAAGATTGTTAAGATTGTTTGATGTACGTTTGCAGCGAATAAACCGAGCATTTGAAAATGTTAAAGAGCCTTAAGTAATTATTTATCCCGCCGCTCGTGACAAGCATTTACCGAAGAACAAAATCCAGAAGATTGAGGAAATCAGGAGTGATAGAGGTGGTAGAATAAGTACTGTTGCCTCGAAGTGATTGGAATGAATTAGACAAAGTCAAATGTATGTATAAAACCTGTCCTCTGCTCTGTAAACCTTCACCCAATTCAAAATAAAAAGTAAAAAAATAAATAAAAGAATCACCACCTATAAGTGATTGTTCAGTTGCACTCTTTTATATTTCTAACAGACTTTGTGGTACCAAATACAATACAGTAAGATGGAAATAAAGTACCTTCCGCATTGGAGTCTAGAGTTTTCAGCAGATGTTGCACTGACGTCTGAAGGGTTGTGAAGCCTTTGTTAGTGGTGACACGTGGATACCCCTTCTGCACAGCCAGCAGAGCACTAACGAGTGGAAAAACAATTAAACCAGATTGCATTTCAAGGTTTGCAGACAGAAACAAAAGGTTACCCCAGGAGAGAACGGCAACCGGATGCAACATGCATCTTATAACATAAGAGACAAGATGCTGCTTCTTTGTCATCGAATGACTTGTTTGTTCATGCACTATGCCCAACAAAATATTCTTGATCCAAGACAGGACCCTCGATAGCTCCAGGATTCTGAAGCCTCAAGACCCCTGCCCCCTCCACCCCCACCCCCGGGTCTTAAGGTAAAAGAGCAAGGTTGAGTGAAATTTCATACTTTTCTGGGCTTAGGAAAACCAATCAATTCATTTTTTAAAATTAGTTAAATAGAAAAATTAAATATTGGAAATCATTTTCATTAAAATCAAATCCAGGTAAATGATCATTGGAGGACTAATTATTATTTAAGCATTTGATAAATATTTACCTTGGGCTGTACAAATGGTAACATTTGGGGGGAAAAAAAAGAATATTGATTGTCTCTGTTAATAACCATTCCATCCCCCCAAGATCCAAAAACAGCTTCACAGTAATGCCCAGCTAGCTGCCATTGCCCTCCTCGGAAGTTTTCCCTCTATGTTATGAGTAAGTCGGGGAAGTTTGACACCGGAGATCGACAATCAGCAAATTTACGAGTGCTTTCGTCCGCTGAAGGCTGCACCGTTGGCATAGTGGGCTATGCCGCTAACTACAAGGTCCGCAGCTCAAATCCACCAGCTGCTCTGTGGGAGAAAAATGAGACTTTCTGTTCCCATAAAGAACTACAGTCTCAAAAGTCCATGGAGACAGAGCTCATCTGTCCGACAGGCTTGCTGTGAATTGGATTAGGCTTGGTGGCAATGAGCTTTTTTTTTGAGTATTTAGTCCACATAAAGGAGACTGGTAGCTTCATGGGCTCGGCACTGAGCTATTGGCTAGCCACCGGTGGCTCAGTCAGAGAGCGATGAGACAGTCTGGTCCCATCTCAGAAACCCAAAGAGGCAGTTCTACTTTGTCCTATGGGGTCAGAATCACCTTGATGGCTGTGAGCATTTTTTCTTCTTTTCTTTCTTTTTTTTTTTGTTAGTCTGTTAGACATGTTCAAAATGTAATTAGTTACTTAGGAAATGCTTTCTTATCCTTTTACACTCAAACCAACTTACAGTTACCAACTCGCATCACTATGCCGACAGGGCTCCAATCCTCTTATAGTCACTAGGAAGTTTTTTAAAGGCTTGTATTTCTCAAGCTCACCTGAGTTGCACAAATACCATGGTTCATATCCAACAACCAAGGCGGAGCCAATCCTTTAATTTACTTAAGCAGTAACTCTAGCAAAAGGCTTACGCTAACAATTTGCCATTGGGACGTGGAATGTAGTACAAATCAGCTAATATTTCCCCCCACCATATGATGGGTATGTAATTTCATGATATTCTATCATATTTTGAAATTTTAAAATTCAGATTGAGGACATTTTAATTTTATCATACTGAAATGAATGAAAAGTGGTTTAGCGAGGTGGCTCACTAGGCCCCTCTAGCTAGTTTGTAATGAGCCCTGGGGGCACAGTGGCCACACATTGACCTGCTAACCAGAAGGCCAGAGGTTCAAGCTCACCAGCCACTCTGGGAAAAGGATGAGTCTGTATGTTCCTGTGGAGATTTGGAGCCTCAGAAACGCAATGTAAGGTCAATATGAGTTGGGATGGCAGTGGACTAGGGAGGGGACTTCAAACATTTTGAGGGGAAATCTAATTAAAAGATAATTTCATTTTTCTAGGAACTCTTGAATCTCCCTCATAAGTACACATGTACACCCATGCATAGGCTAGTCATTTTACTCAGCTCTTTAATCATTCCCTAAAACAGGTTTTACTGCCCCTGTTTTGCACATGGGAGAGCTAGAGTTCAAACAAGTCAAATAACAAATATAAAGTTATCCAGTTAATGATAAAGATGTAGTGCAAGGGGTCTACTTAATTTTGAAGATTGTTCTTCCATCTATCATTTTCCTTCTGATAGAAAGACTTTGCCACAAGATGGCAGCAGATGAGGGCAGGCCGGTCAACCCAGAGTCCATGGCGTAGTGAACATGCTACCCGGGAGCTCTATGTGCCACACTTTCCCTACATAGTTTCCTCTCTGTTCTATACACATGACTATGGAAACTTCAGGAGGCTTTAGATTTGCTCCAAAAGTTTCCTGGAAACCATGGAAACCAGCCTGGACTTCCACCGATCACTTATCTCTTGTTCTCAATCAACTCCTTCAAAGACAATGCTTGACAGTCCTTTAAAAACTGTCAGTATTATTGTTATCAACAGCATTAGTCAAATGACAATAGAACAGGGCTTCTTCAAACAGAACAGGACTTCGAAAATAGTAACACTACCCTCACCCTCTCTGAAATCTTTGGAAACATCTATCAAAATACGTTTCTTTTAGTTCAAAAATTATTTTCCTGTTTTTATCATAGCAACACAGAAGTAATCCAAAACAAGTATCTTGCTTTTATTGTTATACTTACAACATTTATGGTCATTCACTGACATACCCTACTGCATAATGCTATTCAATGCTATATAATTGTAGTTTAACTTTTAAATGAATTAAAATAGCCATGGTGCAATGTTTTTCTTATGCTATTTACTCCACCCAAATAATTGCCTCATTTTTTTTTGTATCTTCTGTTTTACACTGACTATTATTATTTGGAGATTTATAAAATATTCATTGTTCTTATTGTTAGAGCAAACCTACTGAGGAATAATTCATTTATAGTAATATGCACTTATTTTCAGTGTACAGTTCAGGGAATTTTGACAAATATAAACCTCATGTAACTACCAAGAACATTTCTATCTCTCCAAAATAGTTTTCTCATGCTTCTAATAATTGTCCCAAGAGACAATGGGCCGACTTCTATCACCATAATATAGACCTTTACATAAATAGAATAACTCAGTACCTACCTATACATATATTATGTATTATTTTTTTTGGGGGGGGTCTGGATTCTTTTGCCAGCATAACATTGACAAGTTTCATAAAGTTGTGTGTATCAAAAATCTGTTTCTTCATATTGTGGATAAAATTTCATTGCATGAAGAATTATAATTAGGCCACAATTTCATTCTTTTAATATCACCCCCTCCCCCAACACTTAGCTATGATGAACAAATTGGTTGTGAATACGGGCATATAAATGGTTATGTGAGACTACGCATTTGTCTTCTTGGGTAAATGTCTAATAATAGAGTGCTGTGTCAGATGGATCTATTTTTTTGCACTGTATTTGAAACTCCCTTACTGCTTTTTAACTGGTCACATCAGTTTGTTGTCGAACTTGCAACCTAGGGGGGTTTGGGTTCTTGCCAACACTTAGGCTGCCCAGCTTCTTAAAATGTACCCATTCCCAGGGGTCTGCAGTGGCACCTTGGTGTGGTCTGAATTTTATTTTGACTTTTTTCTTGCTGCACTCTACAATGCAAATGATTAGTTCTCTTTTAATTGATCCACACATTTGCTTTCTATCAAAGACTATAAACTAGAGGAAACAGGATCAAGCATGAAGGTTCTGGGAGAGTGAGATTTTTCCCATGAGCTAAAATGAGAACATATCCAGAGAACAAAATTCCTGACATCTTGATTCACCTGTGCTTTAGTTATGACATGGGATAATGGACAGCATGGGGAACCTGAAATCAGATTTTTGGGGGTTCAGGTACTGAGTCTTTTTGTTGGACTTGAAAACATTAGGTAGGTCATGTAACCCCATGGGGTTTGCTTGCTATTAGGTAAAACAGGGATGTCTGTCATCTCAGTATGAATGCATGTTGTGGGAATCAGAGAGATTACCAATATAATATCTTTAACAAACAAAGGCTCTTGCCAATCTTCCCAGGAAGATGAGAACAGCTGTGTCTAGTGCATGAGACATTGAAAACAGAGTCCACCGTGCTCTTAATGACATATTAGAGAAATTGTTTAATTTAGTTTTGGAATTAGGAAATCCAACTTCAAATCCTCCTGGCTGCATGATCAGCAATGACTTAAACTTTATGATCCTTTGTTACTTCATTTGTAAAATAAATAATAGGCTTGTGGTAAGGCTCAATAAGGGTCTAATAAAGTCCCTGGCATGTAATAGGCACTTGATAATTGATAGTTGTTTTCTTTTAGTGAGCATTCTCAAATTAACTGGCCAGGACAGTCAGAGTAAATCTTGTCCATGTGTTTCTCAGTACTAAGAGGAATCCATTAAAATTTGTCCCACTGGAACCAATGGGGTGGGTTCGAACCTGCAATTGCAAAACACGGAAGCCACCTAGACTCCTTTGAGAGATTATTTACAGGCTGGCTACCTAAGAGGGAAGTGAATTCCTCCAGAGGTTGTTGATACAAAACTCTAACCAACAGTGTTGATTTATAGTAGATGATGCCAAGTGGCATCCAACCCAATCTTTCCTTCTTTGGACGTTTAAATGCTATATGCACCAAACCAAACTCATTGCCTTGAGTCAATGTCACCACATAGAGGCCCTATAAGACAGGTAGAACCACCCCTGTGGGTTTCTGAGACAGGAGTAGAAAACCCTATCTTCCCCCCTCGGGGTGGCTGGTGGCTTTGAATGGATGACTGTAGAGTTAGCAGGTCCACATAGAAAGACTATGCCACCAGGCTCCACGGACGGAGCCCAGACTACTGTGTCCGTTTACTGTTGGTTCGCACTGTGCAGCTCCTGCACAGCAGCCTCGTGGCTGCACCACCATTAAGCCTGGTGTTCCCCCTTGCTTCCTCATGAACACTTCATCTAAAACCTCCGGAGCACCCAAAGACATGCTGCTTCTTTGCCCGATGAATACATTCACCGTTCATGCTTAAATCTGCACTACGGCTCCGAAGAACTCTCTGTGTTGTGGTTTAAATGACCTCCCTAACGTGTGGTCCTCACAAACAACATGAACATTGTTTTTCTCTTTGTGAACCATACAACATGACGTAACTCTTAACATTAAATTACCTGCTTGCTTTTTGGAGAACATCAAATACATCTCTCAGGGTTGCAGTATTCTGAAATGCGTTCGGAAAACTAGAGAGGACCTGCCACACGGCGGTCTGCTTCTGCAGCTCTGAGAAGAAGGACAGCGCTTTGACCATTTCTTGAAACATCACTTTCTGATTGTTGGGATCACCTGATATCTAAAAGCACAAAAGCAGAGAGGTCAGCACTGAGATTTCAGCATGGGTGTTCGCAAAGCTTGATGCCGATGACAGTAGCCAATGTCTAGATTCTGTACATAAACAATTCTTACAGAGTTCTATGAAGTTTGAACTCATTTTTTAATTTGGTAAAACAATAACTATTTAGAGTGCTCTTACCAATAATTGGTTGTTTTCTTTTCTATCATGCCAGAAATGGACACACTTAAAGTTTTGTTATTAAAGCTCTTCTCATACAAAATATGAAGAGCTTCAAAATGTCCATGGGAAAAATGTCATGATCTTTTTAATGTTGTTGGCAATGAACTTTTTGAAGCCCTTTCATATTCTAAAGTGTGTATTTGAAATTTATTTCTGAAAAATGCTAGCTGCTGAGTAATATTAGTACACACACATAGACATGCATACACTTTATATGTACTCATGCATATGCATGAAACCCTTGCTATTATAATTACGCCTTTGAGTTCAAACAAATATTTCCAAAGTTTTGTTGCTGTAGCAAGAAATTTGTTACAATAAATTACTTACAGTGTGTAAACCTATGTAACCCACTTTTCAGTACAAATCATTGTAATGACCATTGTACTATAAACACAGACAAAATTCATGATCATTTTTTGCTTCCTCTAGACCACAGGATCCAGCCAATACCTTCAAAGATAAAGTATTTTCTTCATTATAGTCTCTCACTCGTGCTAGTTAAACTAAGTATTCCATCACCATAATTCGAAGACTTGCTGAAAATAAGGTTTTGGACAGTGTATTCTTGACCCCACCTTCTATTCTCCACAATTGCTGACTTTAGTAAGAAAAGATTGTAAGTGTTTTCTATGCTGATTGGAGTCTTTATACCAGTGTCTCCAGTCCTGTCCATTCAGAAATTTCAGATTACTGAAAGGTAATTTACACAGTCAGTACTTGATAAGAATCATTTCCAATAAGGTAGAAAGAATCGGGGAATGGACATGCTTCATTTTCTGCTGTCAATAAAATGTCAGGGTAATTGTTAGTATTTTGAGGAGCTTTCATTTTATTTGGATTTTGAGGGGTTTTAAAAAATTAAATTTAGCTGGTGTGGGTCTGAGATTCACCACTGTAGCTTCAGGTCCTTGGAGTCCCATGGCACAATGCTGCTGGTTCTAATGGAGAACACCGTGGGTACGTTGGAGTCATTCCCACCTCACAGCCGCCCTCTGTGCACTGCCCGGTCCTGCCCCTCCTCACAATTGTTACCTACAATCCCATTGGTGCAACACTATTTCAGTTCAAATCACATCACTGAGAATCGTCCTCTTTTATGCTGCACGCTACATTATTGGGCATTCTGTCTGCTGGAGAGGGACGTAGGATTCCATCAAAAGCTAGCTTTTCAAATCAGGTTTGATGCCAGTTAGGAAAATGAAAAGGAATTTCTCATTCTTCTAACTGCCGGTGGTTTGTTGGTTGGTTGTTTTTGTTTATTTTTGGCTCTGAGAGTTTAGCTATTATGCTGACAACATTGTTGAGTCATCTTATTTTAAAGCCCTTCAAGAAAATGGTAAGTCTTCATTTACCATAGAGCAAAGCAAGATGATATTTCCTCAGGTGTTCCTACGTTATGATTTTTTTCAGCAATATTGAAATTGCTTCAATCCTTGGACGTTAGACTAATAATTGGGCAGTGCTTTGGATGAAACGTGGTGTTCAAATCTCTGAGTCAGGAATCCAAGAGGTACACGGACATTCCCATCAGGATTTCTCAGTTCACAAGGGTGACAGAATTGCTCTTTGACTCACGTTGAGTCGTTTAATGGAGTCAAGGATGGAAACAATATATACTTGTATACCTCCATTATTGTTTACAAGGTCTTTGATCACATTATTAAAACATCCACACTCACCTGAGAGATCTGGTTTCTTAGTTCTTGGAGAGACGCCTCTAAAAGGGACATGTTGGAAACGCAAAACTTATTAAAAATATTCTTTCCTAGCATGGTCCAAGAGAAGGCATAATCACCCTGGTATGTCGGATAACTTTCACAGAGTTCTCTTCGTATTTCTTCTGAAGTTGAATTTTGTTTTAACAGCTAAAAAATGTGTGACAAAAATAGGACAATAATTTTAGTGTATATAGACATCCACATTTTCTAATCTCCAATGGAATGGACTTGTTTTCACAAAAGCCATTTTAAGGCCTTGCATTATACCCACTAGGAAAAGAACAGAAAAACACATTGGGCTAACCCATGAA